CGCCGCCCGCCCCAGCAGCCCCGGAAAAGGCGGGAGACGCCGCCGCGCTGAAGCAACCAAGCGAGCCGAGCCAAACCGACGCGGAAACTCACGCTCTCCGGGGCTCGCCTGCGTCTCCACGTCGTCGAGCGCGCGTGCGTGCGTGCGTCATCTCGCACCGAAGCTGAACCCGGATGTTCCAGTTTATGCGAGGGCAGCCTAGGGATACGGCGGCGGGGGCCACATGCGCATGCTCAGTTGTGTCAACCAAGCAGCAGCGCATGCTCAGTGGTGGGTTGCCGTGCTGTGATCCCTGCAAGCGGGCCCCAGACACGGTTTGGGCCAGGCCCAAGTGTGTACAGCCTGCCCTTTGGGCCCACGGGCTTGTGAGCTGCAGCATGGAGTCAGAGGCTAGCAGGGGAGTGGACAGGAGGACTGTCACTCCTACCTCTGCTGGCCAGGAGCTGCTTACCTCAGAGGGAGGAAGTAGGCCAGCAGAACCAGAGCCAGGGCCAGGCCCTCTTCACCTCCCGGAGCTTGGCTCCCAGAGGGCATGTCCAGGCCCTGCCCTTTCAAAGAAAGGCCTGCAGGAGTTTGGTTTTATTTATTTACATGTCATCTGATGCACTTTGGGTTTGGGTTTTATTTGTTGTTGTTTGGGATAAAGTTTATGGTCGTTATTTCAGATTAAGTTAAACGTCGTGTCGTATTCACTTCATATGGTGTGGAAAACACTGCAGCGTAAACATTTCGTAACTAGAGGATCTATTTTGTTCCAAGGAGGAATCTCAGCGCAGGTAGTTTATACTGCTTTTCATTTACTGAAGAATTGTAGCCGATGTACTTGGTAGCCTATTCAAAACTGCCCTAATAGATGAGTTTTATCTTCTAGCCTTCTATTGTTGTAAGGACTCACCTAAGATTCATTTTAGGGGTGGGGGGGTGGGGTTGGGATAAGTGGGAGTGAGGCTCCTTTGGCTGAATGCCTGCCTAGAAAGCTCAAGGTCCTTCATTCAAACTTCAGTACTGTCCAAAATTAACCCATCTTATTTTGGACTTTAAGTGAAATTTTGGCTGACTTTACAAGATGGTTTTGTGTGTGTGTGCACGTGCAGGTGTATGTGTGTGTGTACAAGGCTTACAAATGACCAAATTCTTAGCAAATGGTGGGAATATGTTCCTTGAAACTTCTAAGTCATTTTTTCATATAAGTGTGTGTGTGTATGTGTGTGTGTGTGTGTGTGTAGGACTTCATGACAAGATTCTTAGCAAATGGTAGGAATGTGTTCCTTGTGAAATGAGGGTACTGGGTGTAACCAGCACATCTTGGCCACATGGTGGAGGAAGGTGAAGTTCCCCCCACCCCACTCCCCCAGGTAATGGATGTCCCTGAATTCCTGTCCCCTGACCCTATTTAGGCCAGACCAGCTCAGGCTCTATTGTGTCATGTCTCTTGTCTCCTGGCTCTCCTCCAGTCAACAAGGGATCTCACACTAGCTCTCCATTGGAGTTGATCTTGTTTGTTGGTATTCTTTTTCTGCTCTTTCTTTGTTTTACTACTGTCATGGCTCGGTTTTCTAAGTGTTAAGTGTATTCAAGAGGTTGCAGATCTTTGGGACAGAAGTCTACCTGTAGTCGCCAGTTTTCTTTTTTTTTTTAATTTTTATTTTTTTTGTGAACACACTGTACAGAGGGGTTACAATTACATGGGCAGGTTAATGTGTACATTTCTTATCAAGCATTGCAGCCTCCTCCTTTGTTTACCCTTCACATTCCTTTCCCAGCCTCCCCCCCCCATAGTCACCAGTTTTCTAATAATGACTCCCAATTTGACCTCTCAAAATGTTTTTCATGATTGAATGCCCCTACAACACTTGAATCTTCTGAGTCATCCTTTTATATAACAGTTGTGTGTGTGTATGTGCACCAATTCTGGGGCTTGACCTCAATCTGGGTGCTGTCCCTGAGCTTTTGTGTGCAAGACCAGTGCTCTACCACTTGAGCCAGCTCCACTTACAACTTTTTGGTGGTTAATTGGAGATAAGAGACTAGGGACTTTCCTGCTGTCCCCTTCCCCCAAAGCTGGCTTCAAACACATTCCTCAGATCTCAGCCTCCTAAATAGCTAGGATTACAGGCATCTGAGAAACACACACACACACACACATTTTGTTCAGAAAACCAACTGACAATGACAAACTGCATTCCTGGAAGCAGAAAATCAGATGACTAGGGACAAAAGTAATTGCCTATTTAAAAATATATTTCCTATGAACAAAACAAAAGTAATTCCTCAAAAGGAAGGGATCCCCATTTATCCTTCTGATCCATGATCATAGTCATCCATTCAATTAATACTAATCCTATCTCTTCTATCACCCCCTACACCTTTTTATAATTGCATCATTTTTCTTGTCCTTATCATAATACATCAAATATAGAGGTGATTTTACGAGAGCCACAAATCCAGAAGTCTCAATACAGTTATCTCATTAAAACATAATTATACATAGGGATTATGAATATACATAGGTAATTATATTTCATTTCAAATACTTTAAGTGAAATTTTTCTTAGACATTTAAGAGAATAGAAATAAATCTTTTAAATTACCTTTTTATCCTGCATGATATAATTTGTTGAGCAGGGTAGACATTTTTTGCAGTTTCTACTGAGATAAGTAAATTTTTTTATTTCCATTATTGGAAGCATAGCTTCATATCTTAACAATTAATATGTACACTAAACCAGGCTTACGAAAACAAAAATAATCAATGCTAGAAGACACACAACCTAAAAGGTATATAATTGCTACAATATCTAGTAAAATAAACAGTCCTAAATGCTTAAAATATTTAGGTGGATCTAAATATGTGGCTCAAGTGATGGAATGCCAGCAGTGAGCAAGAAAGCCAAGCAAGAGTGGGAAGCCCTGAGTTTGAACCCTGATCTCATACCAAAAGAAATCATATTTTTATCAGGAGAAAAGATAGCATTCTGCACACTGCACATAATAAGGTGATACATACTTAATGGTCTAAAGTAATTATTTAAACTTTAAAACTTGAAGGAGAAGCAAGAATCCCAGGAATTAAGCCACCTGGATTAAACTATTGTTTCTAAATTGTGGTGCTTGCATTGAAATAGTGAAGTTAACAACCTCTGCACTATTCACAAGTCCTGAATGAGAAGGGGCAGGAAGGTAGGTAAGTATTACTAGCTTTTGAGATCCAGCTGAAGGTGAAAGAACAAGAGGTCACAGATACCATGTAGAAAAAAAAGTACAACTACATTATCTCTCAAAGAGAAGAGATTGGTTTTTATCTCTGATTGCTTTTGAAATGTTTATTATTATACCGCAAATTGTACCAAAAATATGGGTAACAATTTACAGCCTTCCTCTGTTCCTCCCACATGCCACTGAAGATTATTGTGTTGCCATGGGTTAAACCCCTTCCCCATGTAACCAGTAAGAAGAAGCCATGCTCCAAGTCTCTCTTTTTTGGAGATGTCCCTAACATCCACACCTTTGACCTGGGGCAGAAGAAAGCAAAAGTGGATGGGTTCCACCTTTGAGGACACTTGGTGTCAGATGAATACAAGCAGCTTTCCTCTGAAGCCCTGGAGGCTGCCCAATTTCTGCCAACACCTACATGGTAAAAAGTTGGGGCAAAGATGGCTTTCATATTTGGGGGGCGACTGCATCCTTTCTACCGCATCCACAAGATGTGCTAGTGCTGACAGACTCCAGCCAGGTATGTGAGGGAAGCCCCGGGGCACCGAGGTCAGGGTCCGTGTCCATTCACAGCAGGCTACAGAGCACACAGCACGTGATTGAAGCCTTATGCAGAGCCAAGTTCAAGTTCCCTGGTCATCAAAAGATCCAAGTTTAATGCAGATGAGTTTGAAGACATGGTAGTTGAGAAGTGCCTCCTCCGTGATGGTAATGGAGTCAAATACATCCCAAATCGTGGTTCTCTGGATAAATGGTGAGCTCTGCACTCATGAGGGCTTCTGCCAGCTGTGCTGGATCACACCTACCCCACTTCTTTAATCATGCTCATCTATAAAACGTATCTTGTATCTTTCTTTTTAATAAAAAGGAATGTACAGCTTTCTTATATAAAAACTTGCAAAGTCATTCCAAAATATAAGTTCAAAACCCAAACAATGTATAAAAAGCATCATATGATGATGATAATGGAGTATGCAGACTGTAAACATAAGCAATTTGCATTGGCTGTACAAATATCAAAGTAGAATTGAAAACAAGAATTATTGTAGAGGCAAATATATTTCTCAATGAGAAGATAATTTATGCATCAGAATTATAAATGTAGATACACCCAACAGTAAAGCCCTAAATTTTTTTTAGTATATATTTTTTATTGTAAAGGTACTGTACCAGAGGGGTTACAGTTGCATGAGTAAGGTAATGAGTCCATTTCCTATGGAGCATTGTTACCTCCTCCTTTGTTTTTCCCCTACCATCCCTTCCCTCCCCACCTCCCCAACTCCTCCCTCCCCACCCCCTGAAGTTGTAAAGTTTGTTTTCAACATAGGATCTTGTACATTTCATTGTTACGATGGGACAACCAGTATCCTGAACCCTAAATTCTTGAAGGAAAGTTGCATTCCTTCAAGGTCTTAGGGGTATAGCTCATGAAAGAAAAGAAGGAAAGGAAGGAAGGGAGGGAAAATGAAAGGAAGGAAGAAAGGAAGGAATGGAGGAAGGAAGGGAGGGAGGGAGGGAAGGAGGGAAGAAGGAAGGAATGGGAAGGAAGGAAGGGAAGGAAGGAAGGAGAAAAATGGGCATAAATATATACGACCAAAACTACCCACTGAACAATTAAAAGGATTATAAGACAGGCTACTTCAATATATTCCAGACTGGCCTCCAATTCTCAATCCTCCTGCCTCCGCCTCACAATTGCTAGGATTACAGGTATATGCCATCATGCTACAACTTTGGCGGGGGGGG